TTTTCCCAACCTTACTTGCCTTTGCGCGAGATTATAGTCGATTTCTAACACAAGACAACAAAAACTCTTGCAGACAAAGGGGCAACGCGCTGAGGCCTTTGTGTTTGAGTGCGAGAAATTCAGTCAGCTGTTTCTGGAGCCTTGGAAGGTAGTCAAGTTTTTTAATGGCTTTTTTTATAATTTTTTAAAGCAAGGTACCGGCTGACTAGTCAAGCAGGTGTTTGTTGCCTGTTTCATATTGGTAGGTAGAACGGTCCATTTGCTCGTATTTTCGTTTTTTCTACTTGCCATACGAGATGGCAACCAAATACAGCTTGAGCAGCTAGTACCTTTGTATGAAAAAGAAAAGAAATAGGAAGAAAACTATCAAAAAAAGTCACATATACCCTCCATGGCTATAGAAACAGCTGATTTTCGAATTTCCGTCGAATAGAGACGTCGTCGCGCTGCCCCATTGTTTGCAAGCATTTCTGTTATCATGTGTTAAGAATCTACTATAAATTTTTCGCGATGCAAGATATCCCAATATTTCATAGTCGGTGCTGACACTGCTTAATTAGTTGCAGATGTGTTCAAAGTGGGCTTTCTCTGAGTGCAGCAAAGTTATTGACGTGATTCTTGCTGGTACTAAAGGTCGACTCAAACACATCTTGAATAAATTGGAAAATTATACTTCCGGTTCGTTGTCAAATGTCGAAATGGAGGTATTGGTCTCTATATTACAAGTCAGTCTTGCAATCCGACTAAGAATTCGTTTTAGCTGCGCAGCACAGTTCTCCCGCTACTTTTATCGGGAAAAGATGCCAAATATGAAGGTGGTGATGTCGAGTACGCTTTTTGGTTATCATCAGTGATGCGCTGTTGTTCAAAAGCTAGCGCTCAGAGTAAATTGTTGATGATTCTTTTTGGCCCTGTTACGAGAGATTCTGGAGAAAGTACGTAAATATCATCTGCATATTGTGTTTCACTTTGAACTGCATGAATGATTCCTTCGTCAGAATATCCTCCTTAATTGTGTTTAAGCAATAATCAACTGGCGGCTGTTCTGCGATGAAACTATTCCAACGTATAACGAAGCCGAAAAAACAATAAAACCTTTGTCGGATGCTTTGCATGTTTTGATAAAAACCAAACAAATAGATGAATTTCCGAATTCATGGAATCAACACGACGTCTTCAATATAGTAGAGGAACTTAGCAGTGAGTATCTTTGCCGAATCTTCCATTTTTTCACATCATTCATCATTATCCCAATGCTTCAGCGACACCTGAACCATGGGCTTTTGAAAATTTTGTATCCTTGCTGCTTTTTCGTCCTTCCCTGATATCCGTTTCCTTGACGGCACGATTGGAGAACAATTATGCAGATGAGGCTTGCTTGATGTTTCACACATTTGCAATCGTAAGTTGCTTCTTTAACAATTGTGAACTCAAAATATTAAAAAGTAGGCTATCAAGAGTTTTTCTAAATGGCATTCCTCTTTTGAAGGAGCGAACTGTTTCGGTGTTCGCACATGGTCAGAGGAATTGGGCATCAGACACCTCCCACATCATTGTTTGGTTGCAAACTACCTCCTCAGCTTTTGAAACTGCGCGTGTACGTCATCTGCAGTGTAAAATCCAGCGAATGAAATAGGTTTAGGGTTTAGCTTTTGAACTCATCTTGATTTAAGCCGGTTGCAATACAACAAGCAGAAGGATAAAAATCGTTCCTTCATTCAATCAATCCGTAATAGACAACATAAAAGGTGAAAAATCAGTGAGGCTAAAATGATAAATGACAATTCTTTTTTTGTTGTTTCTATGATAGAGTTCCCGGGTAGAAACTCATTTCCCTTATCTTAAACATTCTTCTGTACACCTCGTCTTTGCAGATGTCTCAGCGTTGGGACGTAGACATTTGTCACATTATCCGACAGCCCATCGTGCAGACCATGAGAACTCTTACCAGAGATCGCGGAAGAATGTTCTTCGATCAAATTTGCCACACTTACGCCGAACAATTAAGACAACTTTCCCAGCGCGGTCAAGGCATGTTATATCATTTCTTCGCTGACAGATTGTTTGAGGAAATTTTTGCTTTTTTTAGAGGGAGCTGAAGATCTTTCAACTTTTATGGCATCCCATGCTGCTATCAGACCAATCTTGCAGCTTATATCTGAATCATTGTGGTAGGCAAATTTTACGCTCATCAGATCTATGTTGCGCTATTTTCCTTGTCTTTCATGCATTTCAAGTTTGCTAAAACAGTTTGTGTTTACTATGCTCCAAACTGCATCCTTATTTCTAAATAACCGACGTGATATTCTTTTCGACTTCAAAAATTGCTCCATCTTGTGATCTTGGAATTAGAGTGCCTATTGTTGATAACTGGAACTTGTTTTCTGTACTATGAATTCTTTGTACTTGCAGCATCTTAAGCATTGTTCGTGTAATTGATCCTTAGCGTATGTATATTCATATATCACCTGTATCTATGGTTATATGCGCCAAGGACACAGCAGTTTGTCTTCTTTTTGAACATGTATCATTCTCAGTCCTGTAAATATGTGCAAATAATTTGGACTCTCATGAAATTCTGATCTCATTGTGGATGATTCTAATCAGTAACAGTTGTTGGCATTTGTTTTTTTTGTGATTTTGGTAACGCTCTCTATGTGCTTCTTGTGATTTCTTTCGATAGCGCATGGTATCTTGCATTTGAGATTGTTCGATCTTATGATGTGGTTTCTATAAGCCATAAATTTATTTTATCTCCAAGCTTTTGTATAGTAAAAGTGTGGTGTAACGAAAAACTCTGTAAAAGCCGGCAACTACGTTGGGAAGTTATATATATATATACATAT